ACGGTGACCGGCGCCATTCCAAATGGCGTGGATGCTGATGCAGCGCAGAAGGCCCTCCGTCAGCGCAAGTTAGCGAACGGACATGCCAATGGCAGTGCGACATCTCACCCTGTGCACGACAACAAGGGCTGGGAGATCATCATCGTCTCAGATGGGTCCAAGGATAAGACGGAAGAGACGGCGTTCACGTTTGCCCGGGACCATCAGCTCTCGCTGCACCCGAAGGGCTATTCGGGTCCTTGGACCCCGGGGACGAAAGAGGGTGTCCACATCCCTCCGGGGACGATTCGGGTGGTGACGCTCACTGAGAACCGAGGAAAGGGCGGTGCGGTGACTCATGGTATGAGACATGTCCGCGGGCAGTATGTGGTGTTTGCCGATGCCGATGGAGCCAGTAAGTTTGAGGATCTGGGCAAGCTTGTCGCTGCCTGTCAAGGGGTCGAGGACTCCCTAGGCCGTGGTGTGGCCGTGGGATCTCGCGCCCATATGGTTGGAAGTGAGGCGGTGGTCAAGGTAAGCTTTATCGTGTCGCCCATGCACGACTCCATTTACGAGACTCGCGGGGAGAGCTCCTGCTAATCGGCGATGATAGCGGTCCAAATTGCGCAATTTCCTCATGCATTCGTTCCACTTGATCCTCTGGCTGTTGACTCCATCCAAGACCGCCACTATCAAGGATACCCAGTGCGGCTTCAAACTGTTTACTCGGGCATCGTTGCCATATATTATCCCGTACATGCATTCCGAAGGATGGATCTTCGATGTGGAAATGCTCATGCTGGCGGAGTTTGCTGGCATTCCAGTGGCTGAAGTGCCGGTGGGCTGGCGGGAGGTCATGGGCAGTAAATTGAATGTGGTGCGCGATAGTGTCGGGATGGCCTGGGGATTGGCCGTTTTGCGGGCCGCGTGGTTACTCGGTATCTACCAGCGCACCTGATACTTCACCCTATGTATGCATTTGGCCTACTGTGGACAAGGGGCACGGCATGGTACTGTAATAAAGCTTTGATTAATTGGATTGTGTCCTGGAACTGGTAATTGATTATCTTTAGAACGCTGTCTTTTTCAAGGCAGGTGCATGGGCGTTTAGAGCGCGGTGTGTTCCTCATCCGTGACGGCATCGGTGGCAAATTCAGGACCGGCAAGTTGGATGAACGGTCCCCGAGCCCCAAACGCGGGGGGAAGAACATATTAGATATTGCATCACCGGCGGGTCGAGCATGGCTGAGAGACTGCGGGTGTTCTGACGGATTAGTAGGGCTCGTAGTACTCTATGTATGAGTTCTGTATTGAGTAGGCTGGTCTGAGGGGCCACGCCGTTGAGACTACTCTAAGCAGTAACTGGCACAATTTCGATTCACTCCTTCATAGTCTTTGTCTCTCTCTTTTCTCATCGGCTGGCACGGGTAATCCCGAGAGCCTCGACCTGTCGATAAACTTTTCGAATAAACTTCTGGGTCGAAGAAAAAAAAAATTTCTAAGTAAGAAAAGAAGAAAGAAAAAAAAAAAAATCGATCGGTGGTGGTCCGGTCCGAGTCTCGTCATAATTTTTTTTTCTTTGCTCTACTTTACCCCCCTTTTGCCGTCTTTCTGCATTTTATTCGAATGATGCCGATGTGAGGTGATGTCTTAGAAAAGCAACAAAGCCCAAAGCCCCAAAGCCCAAAAAAGAGGGGGGTGGTCTGATATTCATCCGTCTTTGCTTTTTTGGCCCCGTTTCTAGCTCTCGTTTTCTACTGCTGACCCGGGATTGCGTCCTTATACATCCATTCGCGTTATCAGACGGCACTTGGCATGATCTGATCGATTCCTCAGTTCATCCAGTGGTGATCCGGTACCTGTCTGCTGGCTTCGACGACGCCTTGCCTGACGTGGATCGTCTCGAGTCTGGTCTTTATAGCCGATGCTACTGACATAGATCGGATATACAGTCCCAGATATATAAAGCAAACATTGGACGGCTGAGGCAGTACCATGAGCCGGTCTGATCTACTAATTGAAACTAGTTCATTCTTCACATAAGGATTGACTTACTAAACCCCGCGACTATATCTAACTACTACTATCTGATTATCGTCATTTCTTCATCACTCTGATTCAACACAATGGGGGTACCGCAGCATACCGACCGACCGCCGGTGACTACTGCGTCTCCGAAGAAGTCGGCAAGCATGTCGTCCCATCTTCTCAAACTGCCCCTCGAGCTTCGTCTCATGATCTATGAATATGCGCTGGACGTCCCAAACGACTACATGGACCGGCCGATGATCGTGATCAACGATCGCGGCAATGTGTTCACCGCGCGCGGACGGTATCGAGCTCTCTCCATGTGCCCCAGCTGGGTGGGCGAGAACGGTCGAGTCCGAAGTCTCCTGTCCGTGAACCGGCAGATCCACGACGAGGTCGAGGACTATGTGTATTCGCACAATACCCTCTTCTTCCTCAATTCCTTCAACCTAGACCGCATGGCCGCCTTCCTGGACACCCTCAGTGCCACGGCGCGGGACCGCATCCGCAGCGTCGGCTTCGAGATCTTCTTCTTCGTCCATTCCCAGACCGGGGTGCCCAAGCGCACGCTGAAGGAGTATGAGCGAGCGGCGCGCATGTTGCGCGACAAGCTGCCGCACTGGGAGAGCACCCTGTTCTATCTGGATCCGCGGTTCTATTACCCGTCCGCCTCGGTGGGGGGGCTGCAGTCGTCGGCGCGAGGCATCTGGTCTCTAGCCACGATGTTCGGCGCCCTGGGCAAGGATCTCCATTTTTTCCCCTTACCGTCCATGCACCGATATGTTATGGACGATGCAAAGAAGCTGCTTCAGGATCGGACGCGGGCGTCGCCTCAAAAGCTCGTTTTTTAGAGGGATCGGGACCGGGGATCGATGGATGCTGGCCTTGTCGTCCTCGGTGGCCTGTTAGTCCTCGTGTTCTCGAAGCAGGAAAACAGACATATTCCTCATATCAACCTTCTGGTTCGCGATCGCCATTTATCATACCATGTACCCTTTTTTTTCTTCTCATTCTTCTCATTCTTGGTGGACATAAGCTTGGAGTTCTTTTTTTTTTTTTCTCTTTTCCCGCTTGGTGTGTATCCGACTGGCATTGTTCTATACTCCAGGTTACCTGTGGGGACTATCATCTGCAGGATGACGTTGAGGACCGACTGAAACCGAGGGATTTACTCTACCTAAACCAAAGGGTAAACTTCTTGAGTTTTGGTGATTCCCCACTCATAATATAAAACAGTATTATGAGTGTCCGCATGGTCGCCAACGGCGGGAGTTCTGTTGCGATTGTTTTGGCTGGTTGCGCCCACTGGAAGGGAGTTTGGGTCAGCATAAGGGCGGTCATTCAAGGAGTTCTGTGGGCATTTTCGGGGCGCGATCTCTGCACATATTTGTATATGTATATTATATAGACTTTGCTTTTTGTATTTGAGAATCATGGTCATCATTCTGCGCACCAGTCGAGGTGCAAATAACCGCGACTATCCATTCCGCGAGAAATCCCATTTGTTTTTTTACCGCCCCGCGCGGGTTCGATCTATAACTCACTGCGATCACATACTCATGCAATCGGTTACATACATAGCATCGAATACTACGTTATCGGGTGGACATGCCAAATGATGAAGGATAATCCACATGAATAGATCATGAAACCATGAAATCATCTGGCCTTGAGTCAGGAATGAGCAAGCTTATTTTTGTTTTCTTGATTATTATTTTTCTCTCTTTCCCAGTCGAGAATGACTGCGGTGAATCCTGGAGGAGGGGGGGGGGGGGAAAGGAAAAAAAAGCAGACTATAACGTCATTGACCCCTCGTGATCGACTCATTGTGTCTTCTGGTGTTGTTTTCTTCTATTGTCTGGATTGTAAGTGTATGTCATTTCAAGAATCACCTTCTTACCTTAATAAGTGATTGTTTCCGGCTCCTCTTCTTCTTGTTCTTGTTGCTCCTGTTCTTGGTGGATGTCGACAACTGCTGTTGGGAAGCTAACTATTCCACTGCCTGTTCCTGCCTGGTCAGTTTTCTCCCCGTTCAAATCTGGTACGTGTTGTTGTACTCCAGCTGTACTACAAGCAGAGTAACTTGACTCTTATTGTTTCTTCCCCCGCATTTAGTGCTTAGTGATGGTGGTGGTCGAAGATCTTCTTGGTCGCATCCTCCTCATCAGGCTCTGATCTTTTCTTATTCTTCTACTCTCTCCCCCTCACCCCTCCTCATTCACATTCTCTCTTCTACTCTCTCTCCCCCTTCGTCTTCTTCATTTGGTCGGATTGCAGTCTGACATTGTCGCTCATTCAACCACCATACTTTTAGGCTGTGATCACCCATCCATCCCCACTTTTCCCCATCGCATAACTCCAGTCAAGCGCAACGTCCACTTGGCCGTCCTCGTGTGGTCGCCTCTATCTACCACCGCCGTTTTCGTCCACACGAAACACCTCCTCTCCCTCCTCGCCCACCTTCTCTACAGTTTGCCTCGCAGCTTCGAGTTGTGTTTCAGGCACCGTCCAAACACTATCAATCAGGGGTTCAATCAAACGCCCATTGACCGCTGCAGACAACTAGCTTTGACCCCCCACCCTCCCCCCCTCTCCCCCACTCACCGAGTTCCTCTTATTCGCCACTTTGCTAAAGTGATCCGTTGTCGTGGTTCCCTGGCTCTTACTTGTCATCGCGAAGCGGTGTCGCTGCATCCGTGCATTATCACAAGTTGTTTGGCTGTCGCCTCGAGCAGCCAACGGACTTTTTTCTTTTCTACCAGACGAGCTAGTTAAGGCACTGATTTACTGACTGACTGACGGCCTTATTGTCCGCTTCATTCCAATTGTTGCCTCGTTTCTAGTGCGCCCTACTTTGCCCCTCATCTCTCCCCTCCACCCATCCCTTTATGAGGGCGCGATCATCCCTCGACGAACCTAGCAAAGTACTCCCCTTCCTCCCTTTGGAGTGTCTCAAAAAACCCGATCTTTTTGAGTTACCCGCAACCAATACAATGAAGTCAGCAACTGCAATCAAGTCCCCCAATGGCCATGGGAGTGTTTACAAGGAAGTGCGCTTCTCTCCTACTCCTACCCCCGTCCGTCGCACGCAATCGGTGCCAAATGCGCACCCTGACTTGTATACCCATGGTGCCGCCGGCGTCACCTACTCGAGCCTGAGTGCCAGTTATCTCGACCAAGCGCGATCACTACTGGACCGTCAACGAATCAGTTTCGAAAATGAAAAGAAGTTGTTCAATGAGGAACGGCAACTGTGGGAAAAAGAGCGGGCGTTGTTGAAGTCGAAGATATCTGAACTAGAAGCCCTGCTAAGAGGGCGAGGATCCACCGCATCGGCGACCGTGCTGCCGCCCGGCGCTTTTGCGTCGAGTTCCTTCTCCGCTATCAATGCCCCGTACGGTCGCTCCCACTCAGTAAGTTTTGCCGACCAATTTCACGCAAGTGCGCAGGTGTGGGAGGGATCTAGCCCTGGGAGCCGGCCCACCAGGGTATTTCCTGACGCGGAGACGACGGACATCCACACTTTATCGTCGATCCCGGAGCAAGGAGCCAAATATGTCTCTGCGCCATCTTTGGACGCAGCTCTTTCTCCCAAATCGCATGCAGTAGACCTCTCTACGGGCGCCAGTGTTCCTGTACCGATTGAGAAGCTGGACAGCAAGCTAGACGGAATTACCCTCAAATCATCTGCCCTGCCCCCTGAAGTGGTTGCCCGCGTGATCACACCACCATCACCGTCGTCGCTCGAAACCTCCCCGACCTCCTCAACCCGCCCCCCGAATGAGCACCGCAACAGTTTGAAACTGCGATTATCCGAGCTCGGTCCCCCGGAATTCAACCTGACCAGGAACGCCGGTCATACTCCCATGGCCAAGATCGATCGCGATATTGACACGGAGCAACCGTCGCCTCAGGAGGTACAAGATGAGGCCAGCCCCCTTGCTCCGGCAGTGCTTCGGCAACCTGCAGAACAGTCCGATTCGTACTTTGCAGATTTGCCGGAAGACCCAGCTCTGAAGGGGCCGCTCTCCTTGTTGAACGAGGAGGAACACGACAGTAGCTTTCTGAAGGAGCTTGATCAGAGGCTTCTGGACCAGGTCAAGCAGGTCCTTGGCCACCACCGCAGGAGTTCTCGGGAGGAGAGGGAAGATGGGGAAGATGAGGCTGAGCCTCGCAGCCAGGGTGAGACCGAAGAGCCTGAATTGCGGTTCAAGAAGACCACCAATTTTGGCACGGCTTTTGGAATCTCGGACTGCGGAAAAGTGTAAGGCTATTTTGCTGGTGCATGAATTTGTCCCAGTATATGCTTGGAGCCATTCGCCCTCTGTGGTGTCTATGGGTGAATTTGGCTTCTTAATTGGATACCACGACTGATGACTCTTGAATGATGCTGAACCTTTTCTTTTTGCATATGCATCGGCAACCATGTGTAACTACTAAATTCATTTTATTCTATCGGTCCCTCACTACGGAGTACTTTTTGTTGTTTGATTAATTTGTTGGCCGAGCAGCAGCGATGAGTCTGCGGCTCCTTGCATCGACCCCGGCCGGAGCAAGCTACATCCCCACCTTATCTCCTTAGCCCCTTTGGTGAAGACAGGACTGCGACTGAAATTGTTCTAGGACGATCCGGACGGAGTGTGGCTGCTGCTGATAAGATGAGAGCTATTTGGATCGAGATCTTGGATCAATTGACGCCACTGTCTCGTGGGCCTTGCTTAGGCCCAATGGGGGTTGCCTGGCAATGGGTACAAGGTACAACCTCCTCCTAGAAAGGGCTATCCCAGGGTAACTCCCTTACGAGGCCCAGCTTCAGGGTATAAAGACCTGATAGATTCTGGTTGAGTCAAATCTTTCATCAGACTCATCATCGGCTGTCTTCGTCACAGCTTCCATTCTTTCTCTCCCATACACTCACTGACCGACATATTGCGGACTTTCTTTTAACTTACAATCACATTCTTTCTCAACTCTTTTCACGGATCTTCACTACGATGTACAACTCCAAGAGCCTTTCGGCACTCTTGTGTCTGGCCCTCGTCACTCCTTCCGCTCTGTCGGCACCTGTTGCCTCCAAGGTGAGTCGCTCTGAGCTGAACGTCCGGAAAATTCCAACTAACATATCGCAGAGTACAACCCTGGCCAGACGGCAATTCGACTCAGAGAGCTTCGCGGGTAGCGGCAGCGATATCTCCATTCCCGATGGACCCTACTACAACACGGCGAGCGCCGCCTCCTCTCGCTACCACGAAGGCAGCAGTAAGGACAGCGGATCGCATGAAACGGACGGCAACACCGCTGCAGGCCAGGCCTGGGATATTGGGATTCCGGACGGTCCCAGCTACACCGGAGGCAACGCCGCCTCCTCTCACTACCACGAAGGCAGCGACAAGAACGACGGTGGCAAGAGCGGTGGCTCGCATCAGTCGGACAGTACCGATGCAGGCCAATCTTGGAATATCGGGATTCCTGATGGACCCAGTGTCAACATGGGCAACTTCTACCATGTGAGCCATGAGAGCTCAGAAGCACCTAAGCCTGAGTCTAAGCCCGAGCCCAAGCCCGAGCCCAAGCCTCAGCAACCGGAAACCACAGAGCCGGCATCACCACCTCCCTCACCATCGCACAATGAGCCGGCCCCTCCTGCTCCTGCTCCTCAGACCTCGGAGGCACCCAATCCCAACCCTTCTGCTGTGGCTCCTCCTACCCATGAAGGACCCGGAACTGCACCCGTCCCTGCCCCTCCGTCCCCTCAAACCCCGACCACCGCCCCTGCTCCTCCCCAGGAAAAGCCTGCGGGTCCTTCTGAGCCTGTTGCTCCTGTCCCTGCTCCTGTTCCTGCCCCGGTTGATGTCTCTCCTGTTGAGAAGCCTGCTAGCCCTGCCCCTGCTCCCGAGGCTGAGAGCCCTGTTGCCGAGGAACCTGCTGAGGATTGCCCTTCTCCTGAGTCTGAGGAGGGAGCTGCTCCTAGCCCTGCTCCCGAGACTGCTCCTGAGACTGCTCCTGAGACTGCTCCTGAGTCTGCTCCTGAGTCTGCTCCTGAGTCTGCTCCTGAGTCTGCTCCTGAGTCTGCTCCTGAGTCTGCTCCTGAGACTGCTTCTGAAACTGCTCCCAGCCCTGCTCCTGAGTCCGCGCCTGAGACCAGCCCCGAGTCTCCTGCTGAATCCGGCCCAGCACCTGGCCCTGAGACCGAAAAGCCTACCTCTACCCCCGCGTCTGCTCCCGCTCCCGCTACCGAAGCCAAGCCTGAATCTGCCCCCGAGTCCGCCCCCGAGACCCAGCCCCAGTCCGGCCCCGACGCTACCGCCGCCGCGCCCAGCAGCCCCGAATCCAGCCCCGCCACGGAGCCCAAGACAGCTCCCGAGGTGCCTGAGAACGAGAACAAGCCTGCCCCTGCGCCTGTGTCCCCGCCACTCCCCGCCTACACTTGTCAATGTCCTGCCTAAATCCTTTAAATCCGGTATGATTTGTAGTGGCAAACTACATGCAGCGCTTCGAGCACGTCTTCTTTTCTCTCTCAACACTCAGCGATCTTTTTTTTCTTTTCTTTTCTTTCATACTTTCCCTTCTCTATACAAATTTCTGGCCGATCATGCGCTGCTTCTCAACGGAGCAAAACCGGAGCATTTACTGGTGTGCTCATCCGTCGACTCCTAGCATGATGTGTAATTTTTTCGTCGGAACTGAATGGGCGACACGCTTTTTGTTTTCTGATATTACTAGCTTTCTAATCACGACGACCTCTCACTTATTCAGTCAATTCTGTGGTTTTCGATTTATGGGAATGATAATCTATTCGGTATTTAGGAATGCTATTATCATTATTATCACTATGGGATTCCAGATTGGTAGGGTTTTATTTCCGATTTCAGCTTACATCGTGGGTCGGATTCTTCATGGCTCGTTCGCTTGCTAGTAGAGTTTTGCAGTTTGCGAGAAAAAGAAGATGGGAAAAATGAGGGGAAGATGAACTGGTGGAGGGCCGGGATTCATATTGCTTGAGGGAGCAGACGAACGGTTGTCACGTCTCGCCCAGGCAAACAACCCCCTTTGAGAGGGGGCAGATGACAAACAGTAACCAGGCTTATTAGCGACCCAGAAATACTTACACAACAGAGAATAGAGAGCAAAGTCGAATGGTCGTTAGTGAGTAGATAAGTAAAGTCAAGTCAAGTAACCACGAATTAAAACACAAACGCCCAAACCGGAACCCAACTCCTCATGCCTACTACACCTACCCGAACTCAACAACAACACACACAAAACAAAAACGACGCACCCAAACTTTCAAACCCCCATCGTAAAATCATGCTCAATCCCCGGCGTCACACTGGCAATGAACTTCAAAAACACCACCAGATACTGATCCACCCGGATCGCAAACTGCTCTTCTTCCTCTTGTTCTTCATCGTGGTCATGCTGCAGCACCTCCCACTCATCGCCGCCGTGTCTCTCCGTTTTTGGGGTAGCATCGTGCAGGGAAAGCCCGCGCACGGGATCGACCAGCCCTTCCGCCTGGGTCTCTTGCTGCTGTTTTTGCTGGGCGGCGGCGGCAGCGGCTCGCACCTTCTCGCGTCGAATCTTCAGCGCGGCGTCTGCGCGGTCCAGGAGGGTCTTCATGACCGAGGCGTGGCGGCAGGGGTGCACGGTGGCCATCTTGACATTTCCATCAAACCAGGGGAAATCCTCTAGCGTGACGGTCTTGTCCTTGTAGTCGCCGACGATGTCCTCCATCATGAGCGGGGGCGGGAGCGGTTCCGAGGGCGAAAGGTAGCCCGAGAGGTAGAGGCGCGGGGTGCGGTAGAAGTTGCTGTAGGTGATGTAGAGGTTGTAGGTTCTTGTTGGTCTGGGGGGAGGGGGGGCATCATCAGTATTCCGTTGAAAGGTGAAAGTGGGGGGAAGGGCAGATCCTACGTCGAAAGCCCCGAACTCTTTCCGACCGGCTCGCGGATAATCGCCTCCTCGTCGTCATCCTCATCCTCCATGTCGGGGATTTCTTCTTCTTCGGCTTCCTCTTGATCGGCACGGTCGGCCACGTTCCCCGCTTCGTCGACGGTGCGGATATCCCCTATCCGGCCTCCAGCGCTACCATCAGCGCTCCCTCCCTGGGCTTGTGTTGAGGAAGAACCACCACCAGTCCTCAACCATCCCTCCTCCTCATCACCTGCGGCATCTGCATCATCCCCGAAAAGCATATCCCGAACAATCTCCTCCTCCCGCCCGGCATCCCCGGCGAAATCATCGTTCAACCGTCGGTGGCACGGCACGCCCCGCGTCACCAGGAACTGTTTGCCGGCCGGTAGGTACGAGACGCGCTTCGCCGGCGAGGAGGCGTCCGCCCACGCCCACGACGGGAACTTGTAGACCAGGTAGTCGCCGGCGAGCACGAACTCTTCGGGTGTGATTTGGCCGGTCGTGCGGAAGGTCGAGGTGCGGGAGATTGGGGCCAGGCGGTCGCGCCAGGTGCTTAGGGTTGAGTGGAGGATGTTCATTTTGGGAGAGGTTGGGTGGGTTGGTGATGAACTTGGAGGGGGTTGTTGGGTTGCGTTGGTGTTGGGCCGTGGGGTTTCAGTTTGGGTGTGGGTGTGGGCTTCGTTTTGTGGTTGTGAGGCTGTAGTGGGTAAGCTTTGATTCAGAGCAGTGTAGTCCAGTTAGTTGTGGTTGGAGTTGTGGTTGGAGTTGTTGTAGAGAGAGATAGTAATCGAGAAGTATGTCAGGTTGGCGGTGAAAGGGAAGTAGGGGGAGATGAGGGGTGACGTTGATCCCGCTGGTGACTCGGCCCTGCGGCACGCGGGGCTTATCGCTACTTATCATGTGGCTGAACTTATTACGGTACACTATGCACGTGAGCGTGAGTCCCTACTTGAGTGCAAGATTTCATCATATGGGTGCATAAGAATACCTCATTTCACTTTCTCGGATCATCTACTACTCACATCATTCTGTCTTAGGTCCAGCTTGCCTCTCCAGCTGGTGCGTCCCCGATCCGAGAGCGCCACCTCCCGGGTTCGTAGCGCCGCTACGGCGACACGAATAGGTCCCATCACTTTCCAGCTGGATGACAAGGCTTCTCCGGCTGGCAGCCGGGCAGGTGAGAACCCCTTGGGGGACTCTTGTTCTTTGCAAGCCGGACCCGATCCCAGAGCTGGACCTTGGACGCTCGACCGCTCTCCGCCGGTCTCCAGCAGTGGGCTTCGAGTCCCAAGCCAGCTAGCAAGCTGTGTCTTTCTCATGATGTTGAAGGGATAGCTTCAATCCACGTTGACCACCATCTCAATTCACTCCCCCTCCACACGCCTCCGCTCAATCTCCGCCTCCACCTCCTCGACCGTCATCGGCACCGCCCGCCCCTTCCACTTCTCCAACTCCGCCCTCGCGAAACCCTCCATACTGCGCATCGCCACCACCAGGAACCCCAGCTCCTCGCGATCCACATCGAACACCTCCCACCACTCACTGTTCACCAGCTTGGCCCCTTCCTCCCGCGCCGCCAGGTAGATCGCCGCCACCGCCAGCGCATTCGGCTGGTGCGTCACGTACAGAAGCTGCGGCGACAGGAGCGCCGCGTTCAGGTGCTCAAACACCCGCCGCGCCACCGCCGGTGCCGCCACCCCCAGCGTCTGCAGGTACGTCAGCGACACCGTGTGCGGCAGCACGACGTGCGTGTTGAACCCCAGCGTCCGCAGGATGCGCGCCTCCGTGCGCATCAGCCCCAGCCGCCGCGCCTGGTACTGTCCCTCCGTGAGCACGTAGGTCTCCGGGTTCGGGGGTTCTTTGGTGATCGGGCTCGGGTTCGTGCACCACAGCGGCGACGCTTCTTTGGACAGCAGGAAGCCGTAGACGTTGAGGACGGAGCGCGGCGAGGTCGGCTGGAAGCTCAGTTTGGCTGTTAGGTAGAGCGCCGCGGCAGAGATATCCTGCGTAGATGATTGAATTTTTAGTTTTGCGTCAACTCTAGTTGTGTTGTTTTGTAGGGCCTGGCTGGGGTGAAGTAATATGGAACAGGGAACGCCATTACCTGCACGTTGTATATCCGAAGACTCCCTCCTTCGGATCCGATCCAGAACCGCGTGAATGTGACAATGGCCTGCGCGATGATGTCCTGCGATAACCGGAGATACACTCCTGCTGCTTGCGTGAGGAGGGCGCCGGCGAAGCGGATTGAGGCCTCGAGGTCCGGGGCGACCCCGTCGATGGAGGAGGACGAGTTGGAGAGTTGTTCGGGGGTCGCGAGCGCATTGCTCAGGAACTTGAGTCCGCTTGATGCTGGGGCTGCCATGGTCGGGTGTGGCGGAAGGGAAAGGTTCCAGAAAATGATTACAGAGAACGTCGTATCCGGGCGTTCGGGCAGAGTAACCCAGCGATGGTAGGCCGTATCGAAAGCTCTTATCGCGGTGTTGTGTTAACGCCGTTGATGCTGGGAATTGCTCGGGCAGAATAGCTGATCCTTCACCGCCTAATTACTTTTGCTTATGTAAGGAGTTGAGGAAACGACCTCGTCGATGGCTTGTGCATTTGCTTCTGCTTTGTTGTTTGAATGCTTGGAGTGAGTGAGACGGATGATTCTAGACATGTCAGTCCTGGTAGGGCCTCTGACATACATAATACTGTATTTGTGTATGGTTATGATGCACTGATGAGGCTTAGAATCGAAAGGGATTCCCAAACTTTGTAGCAGGCAGTATTTTTGGTGTAGATCAGACATCTGGACTACGAATGTATGGAAGCATTAGGAGTATTGATCATCTAAGCGATACACACCCTCCAACAGTAGCTTCGAGGTTAGTACTTTTGTCTACCTCTCGTTGAGTTGTGACCACAACATTTTGCAATAGAGTTGCACTCCAGCTATACATATACTTCCTAGTATACTTCCTAGTACTTTGCAAGATTTAGCGTCCACTCCGAGCAAATGTCGCGCTATATAATTAGACAATAGTATTGATATTTTGTCCAAAAAGTAAGAGAGAACACACTCCAAGCCAAATACTATATATCAAGTGGTAAACTTTTCACTGCCCGCGTGCACTCACACGCGAGGGCTCTAGTAATGACCCCCCTTATGTTGGTGGCTCCCCTTATGCAGATGAAACGCCTTGTGGTCATGGGGCTTTGAACCATGCCCAGGCTCCTTGTAATTCGACGAGCAAGAAGTCTGCCCTTCTTGACCAGAAACGCTAGCAGTCTGGCTAGAGGCAGGCGAGCTTGGGCTCTGCTGGCTGGCAGCCACGGCTGTGCTGATTGAAAGTGCCGACGATCCTGCCACGGCTGTGCTAGATGGAAGTGCTGAGGATCCTGCCACAGGTGTACTGGATGCGTACACCGAAGAGCTTGCTGCACCCAGACCACCAGGTCCGCTCAGGTGTAGAAGAGCGGAGTATGGAGATTGGCCCGGATAGAAGCTTGTTGGCATAGGGGGGATAGTATAGGAGGTATTGGCCAGCATCGCCGTGGTAATATCTTCGACCATCCAGGTAGTGGTATACACTCTGGCGACAAGAGGTTAATGTGTTGAAATAACTTGCAGAGAAAAAGCTTACCCGATAGATGACACCGTCTGATGTGCGGTATAACCAGTCGCGGCAGCGGTTGAGGCCGTTTCCAAGCATGCCCCATTTCCATAGGCATTCTCGCAAGCGTAGTAGACGTAGTCATCCTCGCTGGACATGTTCACATTCTCCAGATTGATATCCGTGCAGGGCACCTCGGATGCGCACTGGAGTCGAATAGCCGGACGTGCATTGTCCGACTTGTACCCATGCCAGTTCTGTCTAGAATTAGCATCCGGTCCCGCAGACCCTAAGAAGTTCGGTTCACCTTGAAGGTGAGGTTGGTGATTTCCACTCCATCTCCGTCATTTGCCGCTCCCCAGCTGGAGTCAATCGACAGCGGATAAGCGCCGCCGCGGACCGTGACCGTGTCCCAGGCGATGTTTCTGACCGTGCCGTTGCCCCCATTGTATTTGATAAAGCATGGTTCCGCATCGTTTGCATAAATATGTCGATAGTAGATGTCACGGATGTCAGTCCCCGTGCCGAGCGAGCCGATCGACATTCCACCGCTGAGATTGCAGTAAATGCTCTCAATCAAGAGGTTGGATGCAGGGTTCTTGACCGTCACGCACTCATCACCGTTGGTTGCCTCGATGTCGTGGATCCATACGTTGTCTCCCCAGACGTCAATCGCATCGGTACCCCCAAGGACGGTAGGCCCGCGCATGATGATGTTGTAGATTTCGCCATTGCTGACCGTGTCCAGGGTGAGGTAGTACGCAGGCGAGTCGACCAGCGCGAGACCATGCACGGAGAAGTTGCTCATGTCGTGGAAGCGCATGAGACGTGGGCCGTACTCACCTTGCGACAAGTACTCGGTGCCGTAGCCCTGGATAGCACCGCGGGAGTTGCCCGAGAAAAATTCAAAGTCTGTGCAACCGCGGAAGGAAAACATCGTGCTGCCCTCAGCCCCGGTGCGAAGAACCACCCCGTCGAGTTGCACGGCCGACGAGACACCATCCTTTAGCGCTGGAAACGTCGCCATGGAGAAGTTGCCGGGTGGGATATAAACCAGTCCGCCCTTGGCGCAGTCACCCCAAGCAGCTGAGAGAGCGGGGCCGATATCTGTGCCATTATCGGGAAAGCCACCGTAGTCGACGATATTGCAGACCTTGTTGGCCGCCTTGGAGGCATAAGAAGTCGTCGGGCCGACGGCGCCAGACAGCTGCGCGGCGGCCGGGAGGGAGAAGAGTAGGAATGTCAACATGTTGTCTTCACGTGGACTTGGGCGGGATCATGGTTAGTCGGCGAGAAAAGTTGAATTATATAGATCGTACGCCCTTCCCTTGATGCCTCCTTTCGCTGGCCACCCTTTCAACAGGTCCTCGGTGGATATCATGTCGAGTCCGTGACCGGAACTTGGCCCCGTGGGATAGTCGCTGTCGTTGTTTCAGATTGAGTTATCACGCGCTTCGCTTAGATCGTAGACGAACCCGATGACAGCTTTCGTGAGATCGACAGATCTGCGGCCGCGGCCCCTGATAATATTCCCACAAGTTGGTGGTTGGCTGAACTTAGCGTGAGCTATTGGACCCGGCGCCTCAACAGGAGTTTGACAGCATTGAGCCATTGACATGGCATCGGCCAAAGTTCATACATGACTCGCAGAATATCGGGAAAAATCCTCGGCTATTGAGAGACTGAGTAATCTTCAGGTGCAGCTTGCAACAACGGACGTGAAGAAGCATTCGTCGTCATCTTCGGCGGGGTCAGTTGTGGAGCCAACGGCACTTGGCAGAGATACCGAGTACCATATACTATGGGAGCTGCTTTGCAAAGAAGTCAATAACCAAATATGAGCGTCAATTTCATGGAATGAGACTCATCGCTTCGGCCATTAGGATGCAAAAGATGGACAGATTTGCTGACCGGAAATGCCGGTTAACAGTCAGCACTAATTGAACCAACACCCATTGTGTCATCACCGACACTTCTGACCCTCAATCCTAATGCTGCTTTCAGATAGATGGCCTGTAAGCACCTGCTGATAGTTATTTTTTCAACACCGGTACTTAATGTCTCAAGCCATGACCACACTCAAGATAAATCTTCTCTTTGGCGTTGTTGCTGTGGCGATAAGTCTCATCACAGCATATTACTCACAGATCCGTCATCATCTTTTGGAGAGAGCAAGCATCCTCATCGTTAGTGCATCCATCTTTCCACCAACGGTCAAAGATTTCACTCGCGACATCAAATACATTGGCAGTCGTACTCCTGGAGTTGAGCACTTTCAGAATGTTTTTTATGCAGAAGAGCCAACCGGTCAACGACGATTTGCACCTCCAGTCCCACTAAGCCCGCCCAAGAAATCCATCATTGATGCTAGCAAGTCTGGTGCTTGGTGTCCTCAAGGCATGGGAGATATACTACCCTTCACCAGCCAAGTGAACAATATCAGTGAGAATTGTCTGAGCCTGCGAATTGCTCGACCTCCTGGAGTACACAGCAATGCGAAGCTACCGGTTGCGGTCTGGTTACATGGAGGTTTGTCCGGTCATCTCTGTCAATAGGACAAGGGAGATTGTTTCTCACAACTTGTCTTCCGGGATAGGGGGCCATGCGCTGGGATCAGCGTCCGATATTTTGTACACGCCAGACGGCTTGGTCAGAGCAGCTGCTGCGGCAGGGAAACCATTGATTTATGTTGGTATCAACTACCGCTTAGGAAGTAAGAGTCGCTCGACTTTCTGCGAACTTGCGGATACTGAGTCACATAGTATTTGGCTTCGCCACAAGCAAAGCAATGATTGAGACCAAGCAGACAAATGCAGGTTTGCGCGATCAGCGAGCTGCATTGCAGTGTAGGTCTCATGCCTTCGTTAAAGTGTCCAGACGACTTCCGTTGGGGAACTGATATGTCCCAGGGGTACGTGATCACATTGAAGTATTCGGGGGTGACCCAGATAGAGGTATCACTTCCACAGTCTTTACCTAGACGCGAGATGATTGACCAGTTCATTCAGTGACTGCTATCGGCCAGAGCGTGGGAGCCAGCGACATCGGCCTGCATCTGACATCATTCAATGGCTCCCAGGACGTCCCTTTCCAGCAAGCAATGTTAGCCTCTTATAGATAACACTAGGTTCCCACACTGACTATCACAATGTAGGATGATGTCCGGCGCACCCGGTGTCAATTTCAACAGCGACCCGGCCTTCGTTGCGAACAACACTGTCGCCATAGCTAGGCGAGTAGGATGCGCCAAAGACGATGACGGCCATTCCATTGAGACCCTAGAATGCCTGCGGGCTGTCCCAGCTGACTTACTGACCAATGTAACTGTCAATGAGGCCCGAAAAGCCCGTCCCCCATTTGGTGAAGGATACTTCTACCCGACTATCGACCATGACTATCTTAACGGCAGGCCGTCCCAGCTGATGCGTGCCGGTAAGTTCGTCAAGAATATCCCCATAGTAGCATCGTGGGTGACCAATGATGGCGCTTGGTATGCATCTCCGCAGACATCCACAGATGAAGACGTCCTTGGTAGCTTTGGGCTCTGGCTACACGGCCTTTCTCAATCAACGAAAGAAAAGCTCCTGCAATTGTATCCAGTGGAAGATTTCAACCACATGGTCCGCCAAGACTATGATGGTGAGACCTCACCGCACTATTACCGTGCCGCGCAGATGAGTCGAGATATCTGGTTCACCTGCCCAGTATTGGACTTTTCATGGCAGTATGCCCAGACCGGAGGCTTAGACGCATCGCGGATCTGGTTGTATGAGCACAATGCGACAAGATTTGCACCTGTCTTTGAAGCAATGGGTGTGCCTATGTGGAGAGTGGCACACCTCAGTGATATCCCATATGTGTTCAATAACCTGCACCTAGAAGGGGGTGCAGATAACTCGTTGCAACAACTGGCGCTGAGTGAGACGGTTAGTAAGGCGATTATCGGGTTTGTGCATGACGGTAGGCCGGGAGGAGAGGGTTCTGGTTTGCAGGAATGGTCATCTGCATATCCGACTATGCTTGATGAGCAACGATCAAGCGAGAGCGCTAGTAGGCTGTCGATTCAGGTCATCGGAGGTCCTCTGGGTTTGTCGGAGGTGGCGATAGGTAGAAAGGAGGAGATCGGTGTGATGACGGTAGTACAGCAAGCATTAGCGTGGGAAAATTTGTTTGATCGGTGTGACTTTATCAACAGTCCTCAGATGAGAGATGAAGCTGGAGTTTGAGATCAGGCAGTAATTGCTTTCTGGTTCTGTTGATTCGAGCAATTCATGACATTGTGCTTTGATGGGATGCAGGAAGTAACTTAGATGTCCAGGAATTGGCAATACTGGCAACAAGACTACATCTGATATCGCGTCTAGTAGACCTCTGAGATCCAAAAATTGGCAGAAGCTTAATTAGCTTATGGAAGAAGGAGGTAGTTGAATTGGAGAGAAACCGAAGAACATGTGACCCCTCCTCGCCTTAGGCAGAAGTCTATCTAAATTACCCACGACGGGAGGACGGATTCCCTAACTTTCCCACGGTTCGCAGCCTTTACCGCAAAGCCATCATCCAAGGTACGATTCATGATCTACTTATATTCTCCGACAATTGGCCAGTCATGTCGTTCCTACACAGTGCAGGCACACAGAGGTACTCCTGACAACTGACAGCCGATGCGACCCTTTGCGCAGGGATCGCCTCCTTTCCTGTATGTCACGCAGGCAATATCCCCCTACCCCGAGATTGCTCTAATCTCTCCTCAGGGGCCGTGGAGCCCTTTCGGAAAAAAGTACGCATGAAACGGGGACCCCAAGAATCCAGACCTTTCATGTCAGGCCTCAGAGGTCAAGCGAAAAAAAAGGGGGGGTGAGTGCTTTCGTCGCTGCGTTGATGATGGCGTCAATGATTTACCAGCCTACTCAGTCGTCACAGAAACCATTGTATTTTGGTCACGACCGCAGATGACGTCGTTAGAGTCGAGCAGTGTAATGTGGACTCTGCGGACTGTGGATTTGTATCTTGCCCGATCAATACTCTTCTTCCACGGGCCAATGGAACTGCCCTGACAACAACGACAACGGCCCAACGCACCCTGTCACTGCTGGATCGACTTATTTTGCTTTTATGACTCGCTAGCTAATTGCCATTGCCTCATTGTGATAGTGGGGAAATATTCATAAGCAGTTCCCAGTCCAGCCACCGTAATTTTTGTGGTTGGCTGCCCAGGTTGAGAGTTGCTAAGAATATACACCCAACCTCGCGAGATTTTGCGCCGTCTGGATGTAAACAGCCGTTTCCGGGGTCTCATATGATAATGAGCACTTCTCGATTACTCGGATTACAGCCTAACACATTCTGGTCCACAAGTTTAATGAGATTGATCCATCGACTATTGTATAACGTGCAGAATCCTTAACACTGGTCGCTGACAGGGGCACGTGCGGGCTCGCGCACTATCGCTATCGCTCGGCGGCCGATTCCATCATCCTGAGTAAACATCTCCCTAGATCGCCCCCTTCCCCAAGAGTCCCTGCCTTCGCCATACGGAACCTCATTGAGGCTTGCTTTATTGCTGCTGCTACCCGCTGTCAATTGGTCATACTGCGTTTGCCGTCACCCGCATTAACCTGAAAGGAGGCTGCAACGGGGAAAAAAAAGAGAGAGCTTCGGGAGCTACTCGTTTCATTGCCCCTTTTGCTTCTTAGCTGCTATCAAGTGCGGCATACGTGACCGTGCATTGGAGCGGACAACATATCGACGTGGCATTCCAGTCCGTGTCCAAGTGGTGCGACAGACTACATCCCTTCATCATTCCAGGTCCCCATCCCTTCCCACCACCCAGTCAGGTTCCGACTTATCAGTCATGCTACAAGACGTCGAACACCCGTCATCTACAGCCACGCCTGCTGTTGACAGCCTGAAACCCTCGTCGCCCGCAATGGCCCCGACCGGAACAGAGGAGGGAAGCTGCCCGCCTGACGAGGCTGCTGTTCGACCGTCCCACCTGAGCATCCCTGCAACCTTATTAGCACAGAGCTCGGATACCGTATCCCCACTACCGGCGAAACAATATCCTTCGCACGCGTCCCTCCACCGCCGGTCAAACACCGAAATCATACAGCGGCACGCCCCTCTTCCCTCTCGAAAGCTTTTCTCCGACCAGTCCAAAACGTTCGAAGACCTCGACAGCGCGAACCCTCGTCCCAGTCCCCCGACCGAGAATACCGCACGCCGCAGGCTTGAGGAAGGTGCGAAACGTCTATCTGGCTGGTTCCAAGGCAAATCGCAGCCCGTGAATCTGGGAGTAGGATATCAGGCCGACGAACCGGACGACGAGGAGGACGCCATGGAGCGACGAGGTGCTCGTGAGCCGTACGTGATGCCCACAGCTCCGACTGGCCTCACTAGCCGGGCACAGAAGCGGATGACGGCACCTTCGCCTTTGAAGCAGGTCACTTCGTCGAGTCCGTTCTCATTCTTCGGGTTGAAACGCCAAGGGGAAGCCAGGCTTGAGCTTCCTGAGCCTGCGCACGACGAGTTTCTGAACCTCGACATCAACGCTGCTCTATTCCCTCCTGGGTTCAGTAATCTAGAAGGTCGGGACGCTTTCGACGCATTACGGAGCAATGCGGATACCATTCTCAGACGACTACAAGCAGCTTATAAGCAACGGACTTTTGCCTTGCACGAAGTTTTGGCCGACAAGAGCGAAAAGCAAGAGGAACTCGAGATAACACGAACACGCATAGGTAACCTGAAAATACAACTGGACGGCATGGCCGAAAAGGTCATCCAGCAGGAGAAAGCTATGAAGGCCATGGCCGAAGAACTAGAGCAGGAAAGGCAGTTGCGTCGCAAGGAGGAAGATGCGCGTCGCCGCAGTGTTATGCTCATCAGATCAAGTGATGACGATGATAGCACATCAGACCTTGCCGCAGAGCTTCAGACACCCAAGCGTAGCATGAAACGGGCCAGCAATGGTACCTTCACAAGCGATTCCGGGTTTGACTCTGGAGACGAGAGTCTCGCGGAGAGTGTCTTCTCCCGGCGCGAGGTGCTCGAATCACCTGCCTCAACCGTTGCGCCATCCCCGAACATCTCTCAAGTCACCTTGTCGACTCCCACATCAGTACCTGTGAAATCGAGTCCGAAGAAAGAGCTGAAGCCTGCTCCGACCCCACCAGCGCGCCAATCGACGTACGATCGGGTCATCAAGGGTCTCACGCCTAAGGGAATCACAAGCTCCTGGAACAACTCCTCCAAGTGCAACATTTGCCATGGCGTCCCTTCCTCTGAAGCTTGGAGTGTCCTGGGTATTCTCAAGGAGGAGAACACAGGCCTCAAGGAAAGGCTGGGAGAACTGGAGAATGTGATCGATGACTGTTTATGTTTGGTTGGTCCCTGACCATAAGCTTGGTTATGACTCTTGAAGAGGACTTATCTGAGTCCCGAGTATCATCAGGAACAGAACAAGGAAGCTGCATTAAGTACAAGCTGTGTGGGTGTACAAAGCGAACGAAGCTGCTGGCTCGTTACTTGATATTTGGGAGGATTGAGGCCACTATATGTACTATTATACCTCGCAACTGCACCTGGAAGGTCTACACAATACCCTGTGCTGAAAGATAGATTACGAATTTCATATATGTCAAGTAATGACAGTCCATTGGATGCAACTCCAGCAAGCAGCGAGCAATCTGCTGATATTTGTAGATAAGTAGTGTCCTTAGTGATTTGGAGGAGATGCATTGACTTTTTGTAGGTGTGGTGAGTGCAGTGCCAGCTGAGGAGACTGGAAGGACCCTTGATGGGGTCAAACGGCCGTGGTCGGTGATGGAAGCGACCAAGTGGCCTCAACGGGGTTAGCGTGGCTGGAGAGTGAAAGTGGCCAGCGAGGCGACTCCCGCTTCCCTCTCAACTCCTCCGCTCCCCGAACCTCATCATTGCTTCCTCTCCCTCTCTCCCTCTCCTTTCCCTTCCCCCCCCCCATCCTTTCTTCTCATCTTCCCTTCTTCTTTTGTATTTCTTCCCCTCCATTCCTTCAGCTGGACTACGCCTTCAGCTTCTCTTTCTTTTTTCCTTTTCTCTTGTACCGTCTTCGCCCAGTAATCTTGGGAGAAAGACAGTCACAATGAGTGGACGTGAGTTCTGCACGCGATCGCATTCGTCTTCGCGACAGCGATCCCCCAACCTCATCAATGGATCAACAATTGCTAACATTGAATACTAGTTCGGTTTCTCGATCTAATCAAGCCCTTTACGCCCCTCCTCCCGGAGGTGGCAGCCCCCGAGACCAAGGTGCCCTTCAACCAGAAGTTGATGTGGACTGGTGTATGTGACACATTGTAAAATATCGACGAGATGGTCCGGCTAACAGATTGCCCACAGCTCACCCTGCTCATCTTCCTTGTCATGAGTCAGATGCCGCTGTATGGTATTGTCTCCTCTGACACTTCCGACCCGCTCTACTGGCTCCGTATGATGTTGGCCAGTAACCGCGGTACTCTGATGGAGTTGGGTATCACCCCCATCATCTCCTCCGGCATGGTCTTCCAGGTAAGCTCACTACAGCCGCGCCATTGATTGACAATCGCATACTTACAATGTGGATTCACAGCTCCTCGCTGGTACCCACCTCATCGATGTCAACCTTGACCTCAAGACCGACCGCGAGCTCTACCAGACTGCTCAGAAGCTCTTCGCTATCATTCTGTCCTTTGGTCAGGCCTGCGTGTACGTGCTGACTGGTCTCTACGGCCAGCCCAGCGATCTTGGTGCTGGTATTTGCGTTCTCCTGATCGTTCAGCTTGTCGTTGCTGGTCTGGTTGTCATTCTTCTGGATGAGCTTCTGCAGAAGGGATACGGTCTTGGAAGCGGTATCTCTCTGTTCATTGCGACCAACATCTGCGAGTCCATCGTTTGGAAGGCGTTCTCCCCCACGACCATCAACACTGGCCGTGGCCCCGAGTTCGAAGGTGCTATCATTGCTCTCTTCCACCTTTTGTTGACCTGGTCCGACAAGCAGCGTGCTCTGCGCGAGGCTTTCTACCGCCAGAACCTCCCCAACATCATGAACCTGCTGGCCACTCTCCTGGTCTTCGCCGCCGTCATCTACCTCCAGGGCTTCCGTGTCGAGATCCCCGTCAAGTCCTCCCGCCAGCGTGGAATGCGTGGATCCTACCCCGTCCGTCTCTTCTACACCTCCAACATGCCCATCATGCTGCAGTCCGCTCTGTGC